GCATTGTTGTTGAAGGTATATAGGGCTACTGACTAACACCACCGCCTCTGCTGCCGCTTTCACCACCACTATGTAAGGCTTATTTTGCAGTGGCCCTTATACACCCAACAACACATCACCACTCGTGACATTCTTAATGCCATATTTTATTCATTCTAGAGTATATATCAAGTTACTATGTTATTAATATTGTTTATTATGTATATTAGATGAATTGTGCTAGATAAATAAACTGTAGAGCTGATATTAGTGTCATGTTGTCCTGTCTCCCAACACAATTCCTAACATACACCAGAAACAGACCTCTCTGGAACACTTTTTTGAGCGACAGGGGTCCAGTGATTCTGAAGCTGGCCCTAGTGGCATTAAAAAACAAAGAAGGGAAGTAACCCAAGATAAGGACTTGGTACCTGAAGTCTTTATGGAAGGAGATTCACCTACCAAACAACTGTAAACTCCATCCTCTCCCCTCCTCCCATCTTCCATACATCACCATGTCTTTAATAAAGGTAACTGTGATGTTATTATTGCTTTATTCTTTGTGTATCATTGTTTTCTGTATAGGTAAATGTATATTTCATGTAGAAAACATTTTTTTTAATACTTTTGGGTGTCTGAAACTGATTAACTGGATTTCCATTATTTCTTATGGGGAAAATTAATTCGGAGTACGTCAAATTTGGAATAAGTCACTTTCTCTGGAATGGATTAATTTCACAATCCAGGAGTCCACTGTACTAAAGATCAAGGCTAGGGGCAGTAAGAATCAAGTGCAGAAAGTATGGGGTGATTTATCTAACAAAACTAGGGAAACAACAAAACAACAATTTACATCTTATTCAGAATTATTCCAAATTCACCAAAAATTTGCATTATGAAACCTTATGACTTATGTTTAGGTCTGTCCCGGGCCACTGTCGGTTGTAATATTAGCAGTAGCTTTATCAGTATTAGCAGAAATAATAGCAGTAGTCATAGCAGTAGCTGTTGCAGTAACAGTCTTAGCAATACTATTTGTAAAAGTATTAGTTGAAGTACTAGCAGTACTAGTTGTAGTAATAGTTATTGCAGTATTAATTGCAACAGTACTAGCTTTAGCAGCACTAGTTATAGTAGTACTAATTTGAGCAGTACTAGTTGTAGAAGTACTAGCTTTAGCATTACTAGTTGTAGAAGTAATAGCTTTAACAAAACTAGTTGCTCTAACTTTAGTGGTAATAGTTGCAGCAATACTAGTTGTGGTAGTACTAGTTGTGGTAGTACTAGTTGTGGTAGTACTAGTTGTAGCAGTACTAGTCATATTAGTACTAGTTGTAGCAGTATTAATTGTAGCAGTACTAGATGTAGCTGTACTAGTCACCACAGCATTAGTTGCAGTACTAGCTGTAGCAACACTAATTGTATTTGTTGAAGCAGTACTAGCCACAGTTCAGTGGTGATATGTTCCAACTGCTTAGGTATGGAAAGAATGATAAACTCAAATGGAGAACTGTACACAAAACTCGAGGGGTTCGTCAAACAGAACTAAAGGAACATGAGAAAGACTTGGGAATAATTATGTCTGCTGACCTTTCTTTCAAAGAATGCAAAAGACAAAGGTCACAACAACCAGAAGGATGACAGGGTGGGCAATGAGAACCTTCAAAACAAGGGAAATAATGCCAATGGTGACACTTTTAAAGTTACTAGTGCTCCCTTATTTGGAATACTCTTCAGTGTTGACAGCCCCATCCAGGGTAGGAGAAATATCAGAGTTGGAACAAATACAGAGATCGTTCACAGTCCACAGAGCCAGTAAAGGATTTAGATTACTTAAATATGTACTCACTGAAGTGGAGAAGAGATCTGAAAATATATACCTGCAAGGTAATTGAGGGCCCAGTCCCAAATTTGCAGTGACATAACAATATACTGGAGCAAAATAAACCCAGTGAAAAATAAGGGTGCAGTGGGTGCAATAAGAGAAAATTGTATCAACATCCGTGGCCCCAGATAATTCAACATTTTACCAAAAGATATTAGAAATACTGCTGGAACAAGTGTACAAGTCTTCAAGAGGAAACTGGACAACTATCTTTGCCAGGTACCAGATCAACCAGGCTGTGACAGATATGAGGCAGTGGGCCTTTCAGCAGCAACAGCCTGGTTGACCAGGTTAGCACCAGACGAACCTGGCCCATGGCTGGGCTCCAGGAGTAGAAAGACTCTTGAAACTCATTAAAGGTATATCAGTACTAGTCTTAACATTACTAGCTGTAGTATTACTAGTTGTAATGGTATTAGTCATCATAGTAATAGAAGAAGTAATAGTAGTAATGGCAGTAGTAATCAGTAGCAATAGTTGTACTAACAGTAGTCATGGTCACAGCAGTAGCAACAGCAGTCATATTCGTCACAGTAGTAATAGCATCAGCATAACAGTGGTACTAGGGACTGTAACAGTAGTACAGAAGTAGTCACAGCAGCAGTCTTGAGGGAGGGAGGGAGGGAGGGAGGGAGGGAGGAAGGGAGGGAGGGAGGAGGAGGAGGAGGTTGGAGGTGGCAGTGTTGTTCAATGCAGAATTAGTAGTAGTAATGGAAGACTAACTGAATTATCTAGAGTCTAGAACATTAAAAAAGTTATACAGGTTGGCCATCACTAATCCAGCACTAATTTCAGCCAGCATAATTTCAAATTTCCAGGGTCACCTCACCAACTTGCCACTACTGTTAGGTGGCGCTACTTGCTGCATACGTCATTCCAATTTGTTTTCTTCATTTATTGTTATAACCTGTTCACTTTTAGCCCTAGCCATGGTTCCAATGAATAAAAGAAATGTTTCTTGTCGTGTAAAGCACATACGCCATACATTGTCCATAAAAGATAAGGTGGCTTTGAAGCCACTGTCAGTCGCCATGAGCTCAGCTCATTCAGATAAGTTGCGACCGGTAAATTTGGGCCTACATATGAGAGAATAGGTCTATGTGGTGTGTGTGTGTGTGTGTGTGTGTGCACTATATAAAAAAAAATCCTGCAGCAAGCAATGCATGAGACAAAAGAACTGCAACCGTGTTTTTGGTGTAGAACAGCAACTTTGCGGTGTATTTTCACATGGATTTTATGGTTGTAGTCTCATTTTTTTGGTCTCAATTGACAGAATCGAAGATACATTACAGAAATAGATATGATTTTGATTGCTTCATGACGGAAAATACCTTGAAACTGAGCTCAAAGTAGCGGAAATGTTTGATTTTTGCTATGTTCAAGAGTAAACAAATGACAACGTTGTCTAATACGTGTCTAACTGGCTGGTCTAATACACGGTCATGAATGAGTTGACATTATTTATACAATTATTACAATAATGCAATAGTCTGCGTAACAGTAAATATTCTATTTTTTTGTGTGAAAAAAAATTTCAAAATGGAAAGCAAGCATAATGTAAGAGGGGGCTGCAGATGTGACTAATGAACAGAGAAAATGTTATTTTAATGCCAAGAATGCCTGTATTATTTATTCTGGACTCTATTTTGAAATTGGCATCTCTTGAAATTTGTGTGAAATTGGCCAAATTACCAATTCCTGACCACTTTGTTGGGTAGTTGAAGTAGGTAAATGGGCTGTTTCTTGTACTCACTCAATAAAACAGAAAAAATACTAGCAAAATAGCTGCGAGCTTGGTAGATTGGAACAATGAAACAGGCCAGAAATAGGGTGTAAAGTGGGTGAAATCGCCGATGCATAAATATTGCTGTTCGGTAAGTGTATTTTAACCTAACTCCTCTGTAATCTGGCAAAATCTCTAATCCAACACCCTATAGGATGCAATGTTGCCAGATTAGTGATAGTCAACCTGTATAGCTTGAATTTTAATTCTCATTTTCTCAATATTTTGATATCTGTATATATTCTCCAAAACAACACATTTTATATTTAGAAAAATAAAAATATTTATCTGAATTTTTATTTGGATTAATTTATCAAGACATTATTTTCTAAATATTTAATTTCAGAAATTCCGCAATCATACATAAAACCACAAGAAAGAAATATCATGTTAAAAAAAAAAATTTGTGACTTGTATCTTTATAATTTGGACATCTCCATACACAAACTAGTCCAGATAAGAGAGAAATCACAGTATCAACAAAAAAGTTGAAAATAAGCAAAATTTAACATCAAAGAGGAGAAATGAAGTTTTAGAAGAGATACCTGTGGATAATAAGGTTTCCTGTAATGTAGGTAAAAAACTAATATATGATAATGATGATTATGTCTTTAAGCTGTACAAATAATGTAGCTAAAAAGTATTAAACAATAATTGGCATAAAAGAGAGCCATTAATATACAATGCATAATTCCAGGAAACCTAGGTAGTAGGTTGGTAGACAGCAACCACCCAGGGAGGTACTACCGTCCTGCCAAGTGAGTGTAAAACTGAAGCCTGTAATTGTTTTACACGATGGTAAGATTGCTGGTATCTTTTATTTTCTGTCTCATACACATGCAAGATTTCAGGTACGTCTTGCTACCTCTACTTACACTTAGGTCACACTACACCTACATGTACAAGCATATATATACACACCCCTTTGGGTTTTCTTCTGTTTTCTTTCTAGTTCTTGTTCTTGTTTATTTCCTCTTATCTCCATGGGGAAGTGGAACAGAATTCTTCCTCTGTAAGCCATGCGTGTTGTAAGAGGTGACTAAAATGCCGGGAGCAAGGGCCTAGTAACCCCTTCTCCTGTATATATTACTAAATGTAAAAGGAGAAACTTTCGTTTTTCCATTTGGGCCACCCTGCCTCGGTGGGATACGGCCGGTGTGTTGAAAGACAGAAGAAACAATTCCAGGAAAACATAAGACTGGAATACATAATTCAATTACTACTGATAAAACAGGAAAAAAAAATGTTCTACTTCACATCAGGTTTTAAGTATGGTAATAAATTACATGAAGTGCAAAACGGAGTAATTTTCTAAAGAGTACTAATAATTATCAAAAACTTAAATTATCTTAC